CAGAAGAGGTGTACCCCACTGCAAACGACCCTGTAATTGAAACAACCCCAGCAAAGACGTAGCAGCAGCCCAAGCTGTTCTCTCAACATAAAATGAAAATGCTGAAAGGTTTATATTACACTCCTATACCTAGCACATTCACAGTTCTCACGTCACGGTATGATTAGGAGCAGTATTCAAGGGCAAGAATAAATACTGCACCGAGCACAGGGCTCTGCACCTAATAGGTGCTCAATAAACACTGGCAAGAGTAACCACGTGTTCCGTGGCCTCAGCATCAAAACACGGGGTGTTTGATGTTCTTTGGCTCTTCAGTGGCCCATGCGAAAAAAATGTCAAAAGATCCTGAATCGCTGGGAGTCTGCTTCTCCCTCTAACCCTCCTCCCTCTCATGCTCTCTGTCTCTCATTCTCTCTCTCAAGTAAATAAATAAAATCTTTAAAAAAGTTTTTTAAAAATTAAAAAAAAAGGGGGGGCGCCTGGGTGGCTCAGTTGCTTGAGCAACTGCCTTCGGCTCAGGTCATGATCCTGGAGTCCTGGGATCGAGTCCCACGTCGGGCTCCCTGCTCAGCGGGGAGTCTGCTTCTCCCTCTGACCCTCCTCCCTCTCACGCTCTCTGTCTCTCATCCTCTGTCTCAAATAAATAAATAAAATGTTAAAAATAAACAAAAAAACTTAAGATCCTGAATTGCTGTCCACACAGACCTGTGTTCTAGCAAAGCCTCGAGCCAAGCCTAGATGAAATACAGCTTCTTGCCCTCTACCTGCCACTGTCCAAGGTAATCTCCCAGTTCAGGCCCCCAATGTTAGTCTCCCAGGAACGCATGATCCGGCCTCCATTGGACACAGTGATTGCATCTGGAAGAGAAAAGACCATGGTGAAGTCACCTATCCCAACTGGTGCTCTGTGGCCTCCTCTGATGGTCTGGGAGCAATGGCTGTACATCTGAGGTATGGATGCGAATAGAAGTTATTTGCAATACTTGTCCTTTTCTTTTGGGAACACGTCTTCTGGTTTCCCTACAGACCTGGTACAAAGGAAGGAACCGAGGACTGGGGAGATGGAGCCAACATCACGACAGAGACCAAAGAGGACTGTGCTTACCTTGTCCGTAGAGCAGCATGGCATCCACAGCCCCTTCTGTCGTGCCCTTGTCAACATGGCGCCACACTGAGAGACATGAGGCAGACGTTACTATAAACTGGAGCGAGGGATCCAAGACGACAGGTAGGAGAGAACCAAAGAGGCCTTTGCACTGCGGTATCTCATTTTATTTCGAGGGAGAGAAGGATTACACCTAACTGGCAATGATCCCTTCATACTCACTGGGTAATGAGGGGAGGAATGTTTGAGAGGAGCCACTCCTGTCCCAGTCTGAAGTCTCCTCACTTCCCATACCCTCTACCACCCCAAACTTATAAATGAGACAAAACTAACAGAATCTCTATGATTCACAAGAAAAACAGTGATCGTAAATCATATTTCCATAATTTCGTGCCTAAAAACATCCATAAAAGCAGCATAAGTAATTTAAGGGGGGCATCCAAATCTTTACTGCAGAGTAGAAAAGAGAAATAGAAAAGTATTTTGAAATATCTTAAGAACTCTTAGGACTCAGGCTGAGAGGCTAAACTAAAAAGGCCAGTTATAGGAAAATAGTTGATATTCAAAAACAACACAACTGAAAAACAAGTATCAGAATCCAGTAAGAGATGCATCTTTTGGCCAACATGTCCCTTACTTGGTAAGCAGCCAGGAAGACTACACAAGCCATGGGCCATTCTGGATTCACTATGGTCAGCCATTCCATCCCAAGCTAACCGGCCTACGCAGGTCACTCACATATCTCCCCAGTCCGAGAATTTAATGCTGCAATCACATTCTTCTCTGTGGCCACAACCAACTTCTTGGATCCAGGGGAAAATTCCAAGGAGGCAAACTTGAGCTTCCCAACATACTGCTGTCTCCTAAGGAAGAGGACAGGGAAATGTGAGGGGCCAAAATCATCCCTGCACAAAATGTTGTGGGAAAAGACCTATCTTAGGACATGTGAGGAATGTCTGCTAATGAGATCTGACCAAAAGCAAGATTTCTATGCAACGGAGTCAGAAGCCAAGGGAACAAGAAGAGAGAATACACCCCAAAAGATAAGCAGCACAAGTCTTACTTCTTTTTTTTTTTAAGATTTTATTTATTTATTTATTTATTTGAGAGAGACAGAGAGACAGAGAGAGTGAGCAGGGGGAGGGGGAGAAGGAGAGGGACAAGCAGACTCCATGCTGAATGCAGAGCCCAACGCAGGGCTCAATCCCAGGACCCTGGTATCAGGACCTGAGCCGAAGGCAGATGCTTAACCAGCGGAGCCACCTAGGCGCCCCCACAAACCTTACTTCTAAATGCAAGCACGTATTATCTCAAGTGCCACCCAAAAGAACACCTGGCCTAAATCCTACTGGAACAAACATTAGTCCTCTCTGTATTCATTAATAGTGGGACTATTACACGAGGGAAGAGACACAAAGCCTATTGTCTACAAGCATACAATCCAACTTGCCCTTCTATTTTCACTGACCCCTGGAGAAAAAAAATCATGCAAATTTTTCACTGAAACTGGGTTGGGTTTCTGTTTCTACAGAAACAGACTGGGTCAAGCTTCTGTTTTCTACAGCCTTTTCAAGCCCACTCCATGTTCAGGATCCACTTGATCATTACTCATACTTTCCTTGGAATATATCCCATCACTTTCAACACGCTTCTCTTAGCATAAAGGGAATATAATTAGCGTCGAATGGCACACTACCAAGTACACAGGAGGTGCTTGCACACTGTTATTAAGGAAAAAGTACTCTCATCTCTGGCAAACTAAACACACGTGGCATCTACATGAAATTTCTCTTGTGATGTTGTTTGGTCTGATTAAAAAAAAAGGAAAGAAACTAAGCAGAGAGTAGAGACACGGGCTTAGAGGACGTTTGACAATTTCTATCTGTATTTTCACATACTTAATTCTCGCTATATCCATTTAACACTCTATGAAACGCAGAGGACAAGCGTTATTACTTCATTTTACAAGGAAAAATTATTACTCTCATTCTACATTTAAGTAAATTAAGGTCTGCTGGGGTCAAGTAATTACAGTCAGAAATAAAACACAAGACTAAGACCTTCTGACTCTAATTCCCATGCTCTCTTTTAAAATATTGTTAATCTTTTATCTGGACTGTAAAAGTAATGCCTGCTAGGGGCGCTTAGGTGCCTCAATTAAGCATCCCACTCTTGATTTCGGCTCAGGTCACGATCTCAGGGTCGTGAGATCAAGCCCTGTATGTATCATTGAGCGTGGAGCCTGCTTAGGACTCTCTCTCTCTCTTCCTCTCCCTTTGCCCCTTCCCCGCTCATGCTCTTTCTCTAAAAAAAAAAAGAAGAAGAATTAATGTCTGCTCATTGTAGAAAATGTGAAAAATATATAAATGTATTTTTAAAAATTTAAAATGCCTAAATGCCACCACCATAAACTTTTTAATGTTTCAGGATATTTCCTTCTGCTTATTTTTCTATTTGTAAATTATATATACCTAGTATTCCGCTAAGTTGGAATCATACAACATTAGCATATAGGCTATAGATGTGTAATACGCACGTTACATTGTGAGCATTTGCCCACGTCATTAAAAATATGACTTATGTTGCATTTATCCCACTGTCTCACATCACATACATATACGACTGCCCCACCAGACTGAGCTCCTTCTTATCTCTCTATCCACAGCACCTAGAACAATTGTTGGTGTATTACAGGCAAGCAACAAATACGGGAATCAATGTATCTGATACAGAAAAGACTTCACAGAGGAGGAGGTATCTGAGCTAGGCTCTGAAGAATGAACTGTTCTCTGAATAGAAATAACAATGGGTAACACTAATTGCACTCAATGAGCCAGGCATTGTGCTAACTTAAAAGAATGACCTCATTCACCCTTACAACTACTGTAGGTAATAATGAACTATGAATAAGCCCATTTTACAGATAAAGAAACCTTGGCACAGAGCGGATAAGTCACTTTCTCAAGTCACACAACCCTTAAGTTCCAAAATTTAGTCTCCAACAGAAGTACACCTCTTAATTGCTGGGCCTTAAGGAAGGGGGCGGGAGGGAGGGAAAACTAAGTGAATGAGTAAATGGCATCTCTATGAACGGCACCTCCGGCTGCGTGAGACTTGCTGGCCCTGTTCGGAGCCCAGGACCGGGCTGGGCTGAAAGAGAGGAGAAAGGGCACTCGGCTTAGGATTCGTAGTAAGACCCAAGCCCCTGTTCACATACCCTAGATCAGGAACCTGACAGTCACAGAAACAGGGCCTGACGGGGAGGAAGGAACGGTGACCTCTGACCAGAACCCCAAGCACGCTTGAATGTCAGGGCCCGTTTCACGAACCTGCAACCTGTCACACAGAGACTGGCTTAGAAGCGCCCCTGACGCTCCGTTTAATGCTCTGCTGTGGCCATCTTAAACCTCTTTAACTTTTGAACGGGGGGGGGGTCCCACATTTTCATTTTGCACTGGGCCCCACAAGTTCTGCAGCCAGTCCTGCTGCCTGTAACCCCGACCTCCTTGTAGCAGGCACAAGGCTGGTACTGACAAAATAGCCATACATTTCCCGAACAGGCCCCACACGCACGTACCAATCAAACTTGCCCACTTGGTCTTCGTAAACCGCGGCCGCTAGGAGAAGCGGTGCAGCCCAGAGCCAGAGCCGGAGAGCCGCCGCCGCCGCCGCCATGATGGGAGCCTGGGCCGGCCCGCCGCCGGCCCGTCAGGCACCCGACCGCAGGCTCCGCCTCCGCAGACCATAGAGTTGGGACCTCCCGCGAAGCCCTCGCCGAGGCGCTCAGGGCTCGGAGGCCCCCGGGCGCGCGGGAAGTCGCCCTGCAGACAGCCGGGCGGGGACAGGCGGGCTGCGGCGCGGATCGGGTCAGGCACGCGCGGGGGCAGTCCCCGAGGGCCGTCCCATAGGCCCCCGCGCCGCCGGGGTCCTAGCAGGCAGCACCGCCTTCCGCCGCATGTGCCTGCAGCGCGATGCCCAAATCCAAGCGCGACAAGAAAGGTGAGCGAGGGGGTTTCGAGACCCCATGGGCAGCTCCGCCGGCATGGTGCCGGCTGCGGTGGGGACTTGAGGGGCACCGAGTGGGACGTCGGGGCGTCCGCGAGGAACTCCGCGGTTCTCTGGAAACTGCGACAGGGCTTCGTGGCCGCTGGCGCACCGGAGGGGGTTGGAACCTGGTCGGGTCAGGGGAGCGGACACTGCGGGTCCTCGGGTGCCCTTCCAAGGCTTACTAGGCCGGAAAACAGCTTTTGAGCACCCGAGCTACGCCCGATCTCGCCTAGGCCCACCTTTCCCACTTCAGCCACTCTCCCTTAGCTCTTTGCACTCCCACCACCCTGGCCGCCTTTCCTTTAGGAAGGTTTAGTCCCGGCTCTGGCCCTTTTGCTTGCAGTTGCTTCTGCGTGGCATGTTTACGCTTAGATCTTCATGTGTTGTCAGTTCATAAGGCACCTCCTGAGAGACCGTTCCTGACCTCCTGTGTGGTAGTTTCTTTCACCCAGGCTGAAACAAGATACTTAGGGGCCTGGCACTCTAGGCGTTGGGCGGATACAGCAGTTACAGTAAGGAAAGCCTAGAAGCCTCATTGAGCTTAAAGTTTTAGTCATAGGAAATAAATCCTCCCCAAAACACCAGAAGTCGAATCAGGTCAGATCGTGATGAGTCTCACGGACTATAAGTGAGATAAAGAAGTGATGTTACTTCGTTTAGCGCAACCAGAGAAGGTCTCTGATGAGCTGACAAATAAGCAGAAACCTAAAGAAAGGAAATGAGCCATCCATGGAGTTACCCCAGAGCATAGCGTTCCAAGGACAGGGAAGATAAAGTGCAAAGGGACTGTATTGAGAGCACGTTTGACGTGTTCTGGGACAAGAGGCCAGTGTGGCTGGAACAGTACACGAAGAAGAGGGAGTAGGTTGGGCTTTATAAACTTTCCCAAGGAATTGGCTTTCACACCCAGGTGCAGTGGGTAGCCATCCGAGAGCTTGAGCAGAGATGGATGATATGGTTTACTTTTTTTTTTTTTCTTTTGACGGAACACAAGCGGGGGGGAGGAGCAGAGGGAGAGGGACAAGCAGACTCATGCTGAGCAGGGAGCCCAACACAGGGCTCAATCCCAGGACCCTGAGATCATGACCTGAGCCAAAGTCAGACACTTAACTGACTGAGCCCCCCCGGGGACCCCGACATGATTTAAATTTTAAAAGATCACCCTAGGGGCACCTTGACGGCTCAGTCGGTTGAGCGTCAGACTCTTGGTTTTGGCTCAGATCATGATCTCAGGGTGGTGGGATCGAGCCCCACTTCAGGTTCTGTGCTGGGGGTGGAGCCTGCTTAAGATTCTCTCTCCCAGGGGTGCCTGGGTGGCTTAGTTGTTAAGTGTCTGCCTTCGGCTCAGGTCATGGTCCCAGGGTCCTGGGACTGAGCCCCGCATCGGGCTCCTTGCTCGGCGGGGAGCCTGCTTCTCCCTCTCCCACTCCCCCTGCTTGTGTTCCCTCTCTCTGTCAAATAAATAAATAAAATCTTTAAAAAAAAAAAAAAGAAGAAGATTCTCTCTCCGTTTCCATCTGCTCCTCCCCCCACCTATCCCCCTCTAAAAAGCTTTAAAAAAGATCACCCTAGTTGCCTTATTGATAATAGACTGGGAAAAGTGGGGAGAGAAGGCAAAGTTGGAAGGAGCAAGGCCAGCAGTAATCCAAGAGAGGGTAGCACTGGCTTGGTCCACAGTTGGAGCAGTGGAAGTGGTGGGAAATGGACTAGGGCATTGTGTTTCCCCTCCTGTGCTGCCCTCACCCTGACCAGTGAGATTATTGTTGCACGTATATGCCAGGCAGGATGAATAAAAATTGCGCCATTACTGGGGGTACCCTCAGCTTTGCATGTGATGCTCTGTTAAGTGTTTGTGGAATGATTGGGTTCTGTAGAGGGAGCCCTGGTGAGATCTGGCAAATGCCATACTCTTCTGGATAAGAGGAAATTGAGCCCCAGCTCTTGGGCAGACGTGCTTGCCCTCCCCAGAGAGGCAGTGCTTTATCCATGAGTCCAAACTGCAGAACAAGATGAAGCAGAGGAGATAGAGTCCCCAGATTCATCGTTCCCCAGCAGAGGCCACCAAAGATTTTCTCTGTGCACCATGGCAGAGAGCAGAAAGGGACCCGCCTGAGCCAGCCACTGAAAGCACTCCAATAACAGGAGCAAGCCCTGCCCCGACACTGCAGTACAGATTCTTAGTCTAGCTGAACTAAGAGGGATGCCGGAACATCTGGCTTGTCTACGTAATAGGAGATATGTCAGGGGATGTCCAGGCTCAGGAACATTGGAGTAGGCACTCTGAGGACCCTGGGAACACGTAGCCTTGCCTTTCCTCACCCTGGCTTTTGGTCCAGCTGAGCTGCTAAAGGGGGGATGGAAATGAGTCTGCAGGGCCTCTGGATTTGTCTCTCATCACCTCTCTCTTTCTTTGTATTAGTTTCCTTAACCAGAACTGCCAAGAAAGGCTTAGAACTGAAACAGAACCTGATAGAAGAGGTAAGAGCTCATTCTTTTTATTGTTCCAGACCCTGTATTTGGTTTATAAAGGTGGCTAGAGGGCTGGCAGGGAAACATCGTTTTAAAAAAAAAAAAAAGGGAAGAGAAAAACACCACGAGGTGCTGGTTCTGTCCTTTTCTCCAGCAGCAGCACCAATAACTCCCGTAGTAATGATTTCCAGCTTTGACCGAGCTCTTACTCTGCACTTGGCACCCCACTAAGTATTCCGTGTGCTGTTCCACTCCATCTTTACAGCGTACCTGGGAGGAGTTAGTGCTGTTTTGCAGCTGGGTAACGGAAGCTTAGAGAGATTTGGTAGCCTGCCCAATGTCAAAAAGCTGTGGGGTTACACGGGGCGCCCGGCTGGCTCAGTTGGTAGAGCAGGCAACTCTTGGTTTCGGGGTCATGAGTTCAAGTCCCACATAAAGTAACTTAAAAAAAAAAAAATCTTACCAGATGTTATCAGATGTTAGTAAATGCGCCAGCCTACTGTCTACACTGCTGCAGGCCACAGGCTGGGTGAGAGGAGAGTCTCCTCCAGCACAATTACTCCTTTTCCTTGAGACCACGTCATCATGGCTGCAACCAGCAGTGTGGGCAGAGCAGGGCCGATGAGCCACCTTCCCTTGTGAGTAAAGAATGAGACTTTATATTTTCCATGTAGCAGGAGCCTTCCAAGCGTAGCTAAGTGTTTCTGGGTTGTCAGTTAATGGGCAGAGCAAAGCAATCCATTCCACTCCGGGCACAGATAAGTCAGAAACCTGGAAGACCATGGGATCTCAGCTTACCTGCACTTTGAGATCACACCTACTTTGCCTCAGGGGAGCCCCTGTAGTCCATGATCTTGGCTTCAGTAACAGAAATAAGGAGGAAACAGCTAGACGCCTCCAGCTCTAAACTTCCATGGTTGTTAGGGACCTAGACCAGATTCTTCCCCATCTGAGGCCCAACCCATGGTGCCCCCTTGAACTCCAGAACCCCATTGAATTGTCCCACAGCTTCGGAAATGTGTGGATACGTACAAGTACCTTTTCATCTTCTCTGTGGCCAACATGAGGAACAGCAAGCTGAAGGACATACGGAACGCCTGGAAGCACAGCCGGTAAGAAGGCCTTCCTGCGTGGAGAAGCCAGGATGCTCTCAAAGCACAGGGCCAGTTATTGACCCTTGGGTAGCTGGGTCACACAGATACCACCTTACTGAGGACAAAGCTTCACATTCTCCAGAGGCACTTTTTAACTGTTATAACTGGTCTTGCATTGAGCTTCTTGGGCAGGACTGGGTCGTTGGGCAGGGAATGTTTGAGCAGCAATCCCTCAGGAGAAAGGGCTCCCTTAACTCCTGGGATCTGGTCCTTTTAGGAACATCCCATCAGTTTTAGAATGTTGGTGTGTACTCCAAGATGCACACGGTGCCCCGAGAGCAGGCTGCGTGAGCCACATGGCGGATACCCGTCCTTGGGCTGGATCTGTGATGGTACGAGTGATGACTCTGGTCTGCCTCAGACCAGTGAATGTGCCTCTTCCATACCTCCAGATTGGGGGGTCTAGGGGATCACATAACACCCACAGTGGGCCAGTAGACAAAATACTATGGATGTTTGAGGTCTGTAGGCAGGAAAAAATGAAGGGGGTCCTTGGCTGTGGACAGAGAGCCGGCAGGGCTGCATGGAAGAAGTAGGAGCCTCTGGCCAAGCCTCCTGCGGCCCAGCAGCCTGGGCCTGAGTTCAGGCTCCTGGGGACTGGAGCAGGTTTACACCTTAACTGGGGGACGGTGGAGGGGGCCCTTCCTTCACGGACTCCTTTCTCTCTCTAGGATGTTCTTTGGCAAAAACAAGGTGATGATGGTGGCCTTGGGTCGAAGCCCAGCTGATGAGTACAAAGACAACCTGCATCAGGTGAGTTTCTGGCCTTCTGGCCAGTGGAGGGATCGGGGAGACCAAGGCGTGGCTTAAAGCTCGGTTCTCCTTTAACCCGCAGACCCAGAGTAGTGCCCCCCCCGAGCTGTGTCAACCAAAAACATCTGCAGATATTGCCAGATGTCTAATGGGACTGGGCCGACCCCACTTCTGTTCTGTAGGTCAGCAAGAAGTTGAGGGGTGAGGTCGGTCTCCTTTTCACCAACCGCACCAAGGAGGAAGTGAATGAGTAAGTGTTTTTGAGGACTAACAGGGAAGGAGTAATCCGGGTACTTTGTACAGTACGGAGATATCAAGCAAAAACTGGTTCCTGGAACAGTGCTCCTGAGTCCTCGTTCTGGGCAGCATCGTGCTCCAAGCGGTCTGCCGCAAACGTGGGTGGGGAGGGGAGGCCAGGGGAGCCTGACTTCATGCCCGGCTGGTGGGCCGTTCAGGAACGCCCCCCACCACTTGTCTTTTCCTGAGGTGGTTTACGAAATACACGGAAATGGACTTCGCTCGAGCCGGAAACAAAGCAACTTTCACTGTGACCCTGGACCCCGGGCCCCTGGAGCAGTTCCCCCACTCCATGGAGCCACAGCTGAGGCAGCTGGGCCTGCCCACTGCCCTCAAGAGAGGTATGGGGAAACCCCTGGAGCTGAAAGGTCACAGCCTAGCTGCCAGAAACACAATTTCCCAAACCTGACAGACCTCCTTTGGCCTCTGTGGCTGAGCAGCTCATTTCTGCCAGTCTCCATTTTCTCAGGTGAAAATGGGACTGAGTGACCACCTCTTGGTCGGGGCAAGAGTGGGTAGTAACTCACAGCCAGAACACAGCAGCTAAGGGACGTGAGGGAGGCCGTCCTCCCCCCCCCCACAGACCCTCCTGGGCAGCTGAGCACTTTCGGGTTTAGCCTGAGTGTGCTGGGGAGGGGGGGAAGGGCGGGGGGCCACCCGGCTCCCTCAGCTCTGGGCAGCGGGCAGAGAGCTGTGCGTGGGCCTCTGTGCCAAGGTCACCGTGCGGGGTTCCTTTCTCTGTAGGTGTGGTGACCCTGCTGTCCGACCACGAGGTGTGTAAGGAGGGCGACGTGCTGAGCCCAGAGCAGGCCCGCGTGCTGGTGAGTCTGTCTGTCCCCCCCCCCCCCCCCCACCCCCGCCACGGTCGGCGGGCTGTGGCACCAGGGCCCCTGGCCGGTTCGGGTCACCCTTGCTCCTCTTTTTTTTTTTGTAGATTTTATTTATTTGTCAGAACGAGCGAACACAAACGCGGGGAGTGGCAGGCAGAGGGAGAAGCAGGCTCCCCACTGAGCAAGGAGCCCGATGTGGGACTCAGTCCCAGGACGCTGGGATCATGACCTGAGCCAAAGGCAGCTGCCTAACCAACTGAGCCACCCAGGCATCCCCACCCTTACTCCTCCTAACCATTGATTCCCTCTATGCATCCCTTGCAGAAGCTTTTCGGGTATGAGATGGCTGAATTCAAGGTCACCATCAAATACATGTGGGATGCACAGTCTGGAAGGTTCCAGCAGATGGGAGATGACTTGCCCGAGAGCGCATCCGAGTCAGCAGAAGAATCAGAGGGGGAAGATGACGGCTGAGAGATACTGGGGACGGACTGTGGGACCACCACCCCGCTCGCTGAACAGCAGGGAGGGCGAGAGGGATGGACTGCTTTTCTATAAGGAATAAAACTGTCTGCAAAGTGGCTCCTGTGGACAGCAAAGAGGACTTTTCCTAGAAAAAAGGCCTTGGTTTTGGACTTTTATTTGGATTCTCTGGGTTCCTTTTGTTTGCCTGGAGCCAGCTTCCAGCACTGGCTCCCGCATGATGTCTGGGGACGTGAGAGCCACCCCCAGAGCCGGGGCTTCTCTCCTCTGGCCCTTTTGTGCCTCCTGGAAATGGGGGTTTGCCAAGGAATAAAGGAAGCCTGGCCACCCTTCCTACCCCCCTTTCTTTCTCTCCCTCCTCCCCCCACCAGTCCTATCCCCTGCCCAAGCCAGGGCCGAGGGTCTTACAGGATGCTTTCACTAAGACAAGACTAAAGCCACTGCTGAAACCCAGAGCAGATAAGAAAACTGTTCCACAGCATCCTGGGAACTTTTATTCTTGGGAGTGACTCTAATGGTAGGTAAACCTTCAGGGCATACGGCCCTTTCTCTTGTGTGTAGCAGAGAGAGGGCCACCTCCAGCTGCCCTGTCCGGAGGTCGGGCTGGATTCCGGACGGGAGGCTGGGAAGCCTGCACTCCTGCCTCCTCCCCCACAAGCCCTTGGGAAGGACAGGCAGCAGGGCAGATGGGCAGCCGGGTCCAGCGCCTGCTCTGTCCAAGCAGGACACGCCTGAGTGGGTCACAGCACAGCCTTCTCTCGTGAAGGCAGCTGGGAGCATTGTGGGAATGGAGGAAATAAACAGCTCGTGAGCAGACACTGTGGAGAAAGAACAGGCCAAATAAAGCCATTTAAGGCCCAGGGTGAGAGTGTCAAAAGAAGTGACCAAGACGGAGGAGGCCCTCTGCCACCTCAAGCCAGGACTGGCCCTAGCGGAAGTAGTTGGGACATTTGTGGGCGACCAGGTGCCAGGCTCGATCGAAGTCCTGCACCACGGCCGACTCCAGGGGCCCTTCCTCGGTCGCTGCCAAGTTCTGTGTCAGCTGCTCCACGCAGGACATGCCAAGGATGACCGCGTCCCTGTGGGCACCCTGCAAGGGGAGACAGCCAGATGTGAACACATTATGCACCGTGGTGGCTCCAGGCGCACACCCTCCCTCCCCACCCTGCCTCTGCCGAGACCCGGGCTCTGATGTCTCCTTAGAGCCTACGTTCTTCAGGAGTTTACACAGCCTGCAAACAGCTTGAAAGGCCAGCCTCTACAGACTCCCCAGCAGGCAGACGGGAGTTCAGAGCCACTCCCCTGTGCCCCTCCACAGCTGGGTAAACCCGGGGTAGTCACTTGACAGCCCCAAACTTCAAACTTCGTTTATTTTGCAGGAATTAAAATTTTCTGAAGTATTTGTGTCAGGCCTGGCCCTGAACAGCTCAGGAAAGGGGAGCCCTCAGTAGATCATGCTGAAGCCAGTGGAAGGTGTGAGGGCAGCCTGGGACAGCAGAGAGGGCGGCCCCCCAGGCGCAGGGCCCGACTCTGCAAGTGTGCGGCCTGGGGCGGAACAAAGGCTAATGGTTAGAAATGTTAAGTTTCAGAGTCCACTGGATGCTCGTGCCCTGTCACGTGTAGCTGTGGGGCCTTAAGCGCCTCTGACTTCACTTCCTCATCTGTGAAGTTGGAATAATCACACTTAATAGGGCCCGTGGAGCTCATAACGGGGCACTTAATGAAACTTCCCAAAAAAGAGAATTCGCATGGAGAAACACCAGAAGAAAAGGAATCACCTCAGAAACTATCAAGTAACTGTGTAGCCCTCTCCCTTCTTCCCCGTTCTCCCTCACCCCACCGCGGAAAAAAGCAGCCCCCCCGGGACGGCCGGCTCCGCCGCAGCTGGGGACACTGCCGCCATACACAGCCCACAGGGCCTTCTCCACCAGGGCAGTGGCCTCCAAGTGGTGCTCCTTCCAGAAGCTGGGCAGGTGGGAAGGGTGGCACCACGGTCAGTGCCGTGAGGTCACTCCAGGGCAGATGTCCCACCCCGGTCCCTGAGGCCCCACGGGGCTGGCGTCCTCCGAGAATGCAGGTGGATTCCGGGCCCCTTAGCTGGGCACTTTTCAGTCCGGTGAGGGGGGCAGGGGGATGCAGTGGGCAGGGATCCCTGCCTTCATCATGCTCACTAGATGTGAACAACACAAGCCCCAGACCGGGACCCAGGAGCAGCCACAACACCGCACTAGCGTGCCTCCTGTTACTGTACCCATGACAAATCCTGCCTAAAGCCACCTGCCTCCACTTCTCTTACCTGCTCCGTGAGGAGAGCAAATGCCCCCGGCCAGCCCCTTACAGCCAGTGCCAAATGTAAAGGAGATAATGTACCTGATGGTGCATACCTTGTAAACCATGAAGAACAGTCAAGCTCAAAACCATCAGGCCTCAGTTCTGCAGGGTGAAGCCCAGGCCCTGGCGGTGAGAAATCTTGAGAACACTGTTTGGGGCATTGGCTCCTAAACCTGGACACCTGGCCGGGAAGATCAGAAACGGGGTGGGCAAGGGTGGGGGGGGGGAGCTGGATTAGAACTGAGATCACAGCAGTGCACACGAGGTGATCCCAAATATTAGACGCTCCATAGACACTCCCCTGCTTTCAAAGTCCTTGGCCATTTCAACAAGACTAACATCAGAGACTTGCACAAAACTTCCTCCTTGCCCTCCTCCCAGGGTGGGGGCAAAAAGGCAAATAAATTAGACACAGAAATTAACCGTGGACTTGGCTTCTATAAACATAGAAAGATTAGGAGCTTGCCAGTAGTCCACGGAGCACATCTAAATTTGATAAAGGAGGGGCGCCTGGCTGACTCAGCTGGAAGAGCATGCAACTGGATCTCGGGGTTGTGAGTTCGAGCTCCACATTGGGTGGGATTACTTAAATAAAACTTTTTAAAAAATAAAGTGGATAGGGGCGCCTGGGTGGCTCAGTCGGTTAAGCAGCTGCCTTCGGCTCAGGTCATGATCCTGGGGTCCTGGGATCGAGTCCTGCATCGGGCTCCCTGCTCCGCGGGAAGCCTGCTTCTCCCTCTCCCACTCCCCCTGCTTGCGTTCCCTCTCTCGCTGTGTCTTTCTCTGTCAAATAAAATCTTTAAAAAAATAAAGTGGATAAATGAAGGAATAGCAATAAAGTGCACCTTGGGGGAGGTCGCAGGAGAGGCCAGAGGGAAAGAGCCATGAGTTTAAATCATCACCTCTGAAGAGTGCAACTTGGCAACGGGTTGCTTTGAGCCATGGGCCTGTATTCCTTTGATAGCGTTTCCAAATTTTAGAAAGTGGAAAAGTAAGGGAAGAAGGCTGATTCCAACAGCTGTGTAACTATAACTGTAGACATTGAGAAAATATTACTGCCAAGAGTTTACAAAGTTTAGATTCCTTTGCCTGAGGGGAAGGGCCAGCTTTCCAGAGTTCTGATCCAAGGGTACCCCCTGCCCCGGCCCCACTGTGCACAGAGGGTGAGCTCTTCCCAGGAAAGAGCTGTGAAGCTTTGAGAAGGCACAGGGATCCACGTTCCCAATCCAGGCCCCTAAGCCCTCTCCAGAGACACAGAATATCCAGGGTGTGGATGTTGGTAAAGCCCTGGAGATTCCAGGGACCTAAGTCTGAGACCAGGAGGAGGTGCTGGCCCCCAGAAAGCAGCCCCAGAGACCCCCTATTTCAGACTAGGAGGACCTATACCACCCCCCACCCTGACGCAGCCCATCCCCCGCTCACCGATTCCTGT